TGGGGCAGGAGGCTGTGACCAGGGGTGTGTGGGGCACGAATGGGGCTCTGCAGCCCCTGGAGCAGCAGCACCTCCCATTTCCAAGGCTGCACTGATGTCACTGGTGCATCTGTGCTTGAACTGGCCCCATGCCCAACTCAGAGCACCTGCCTGAGGGGGGGATGTCCTGAGACAGCCTGGCTGGGGAACAGGGCTTCCTCCTAAGGAATTATCAAGGAAAATCAGCATTTGCTCCAAGTTTCAGCCCTGGGGGAGCCAGCTGTCATGGACACTGTGCCTGTGGAGAGGGAGAGCTGGAGGAAAGGCAGTGAGTGCTGGAAGAAGGCTGAGAAACAGGAGCTGAAACTGGGAAGCAACCGGGAAAAGTTGATTCTTGGTTACCAAAGGACAGGGAGCAGGTTATTGTCCTAGTGCAGCTGCTTCCAGCCCTGTGCAGGTACCTGTGCAGGGTCAGAGAGTCACTCTCAGCTGGTGAAGAACATGTTTCCTCACAGCAAAGGGGGGAGTCCGACACTATTCCAATAGGCTGAAGGCTTTTTTGCTCCCCCTCTTTGGATTTTAGTCTGTCTCCCTGGCACCCTTTGGCATTCAGGCTTTCCCTGCCTTTTCACAAGGCTGAATTTGTGGATGTTTTCCACTCTTTCACTTCTATATGTGTGTTCTCATGGACACTTTTCCACATTGTGCCTGCCAAGGGCTGACTTTCCTTTTCCAAATCTGCTGCTCCTGCTGCTGCCTCTGCCCTGTCAGCCCTGCATGTGATGTCTGTCCCCTGGATTTCCAGAGAGCAGCACTCTGGAGAGCTGGGAAGCTCTTCTGGAGGCAGGAATTTTGCTGTGTATGCTTCTGGAAGGTTCTAGAGAGGCACTCTGCAGCTCAGAGCTTGGCTTATAAAAGTCCCACAGCTGATACTGTGTAGTGAGGGGAGATGTGTAACCTGACTGGAGCCTGTGTTGGATTAGGAGAGCCCTGATCCCACAGAAACAGGCTGGGAGAGCTGGGGGTGTTCACCTGGAGAGGAGAAGGCTCCAGGAAGACCTGAGAGTCCCTTCCAGAGCCTAAAGGGGCTCCAGGAGAGCTGGAGAGGGACTTGGGACAAGGGATAGAGGGACAGGCAAAGGGGGAATGGCTTCCTACTGCCAGAGGGCAGGGTTAGATGGGACATTGGGAAGGAATTGTTGGCTGTGAGGGTGGGGAGGCCCTGGCCCAGGTTGGCCAGA